AAAAATGTTCCAAATGTAAATCGATTATTCGATGTGGAACATAAAATGATATTTTAATTATCTTATTTGTAAATTTTAAATATAATTGTGATTAGACGGACAAAACCGAATAATTAATTCAATAATTTCCATTTAATTGATTACAACACTGTCGATGCTTGCGATTAAATTGTCGCATTAGTACATGCGTATAAATCCCTCGTTGTAAATGATATTCCAGTCAAGGCGAATGGTTGTGTGGCGAGAAACGGAACGAGGGAGTTCACCATTCTATTTATTATCCAGACACAGCCATCAGCGCTATCTTGTAGATTACCCCTGTCCTTTTTCGAAGTATAATGCAGCAACTGTCGTATTTATTTGTTGCCAGAGAAACTTCAGAGACGTCGCACAGTCCGAGATATACCTGGACCCTGCCCTGCCTTACCTATACTGGGCACAAGATGGATATATTCTATCTTCGGACGGTACAACCTGAACTTGGTGCACGAGGCCTACAGAGGTAAGTATACGACGAACAGCGTTATGCATGAAATAAAAAGGGTATGCACGTCTACAAATTTATGTTAAAATTATCAATCGTGTTAACTGCAATAGTTCAATAAATAAAGCGACGATCCAAAAAAAGCGCACATTAAAAACACGTGCACCTTATTTCTGGAGTACGCCTTTCTTATTCTGTTGCCTGCTTATGTCTCGCAGATATGTTTCGACGATACGGGAGAATTGTACGTGAGAGGGCGCTGTGGAATTTCCCGGTGGTAAGTCTGTTAGAACGACGGGACATCGAGAAAGTCCTCAAGCATCAAAGTAAGTTCCCGCTGCGTCCACCGACAGAAGTCTTGGCGTGGTATCGCCAGTCTCGGCCAGATCGCTACACAACCCTCGGACTAGTCAACGAGTAAGTTTCGATCCACATATTACATACACGCACTGTGCATAACTTGAGAGCGAGCCCATACGGTACTAAGTTGTACCTGACGTCCTTTGCTGCCCATAAATTTGAACATAATGACGTCTGAACAGTGGAAGAAGCTATTGGGAATTGTTAGTTTACTGAGAGTCATGCAGAAAAGTCATTAGAGAGTCTGACAGCCAATCTGCTGGCCAAAAACTTATCATGTAACTCTAGGTTTATTTTAGTGTTCAAAGGAGTACACTACTGAAACCTTCCTAATCCAGTGTAATGCCAGCAGCTGATGCACTAAAGTGTGACATGACCCGAAAATAATGTTTTTAATGCGCATGACTGAATTGTTTCAGGCAAGGCGAAAAGTGGCACATGTTGAGGTCTGTTCTCACCCCTGAGCTCACTAGCGCCAAGACCATATTGCGGTTTCTCCCAGAACTAAACCAAGTCATTGAAGATTTCATATCAGTTCTCAGAACGACACGTGATAAGCGAGATGTCGTATCGGGATTCGAGGAATCTGTGAACAGGATGGGTTTGGAGAGTGAGTTCATACTTCAAAGTTGAAAATGCTCATATATTAATGACACGGACTTTCCTGCATTACGGATAAACCACTTTCCTAGTAAGGGTTTCCAAGGGGATTGTTTGTTCACTTTGTACTTCCTAATTACAAACTTGCAACACAAGCATTTGTTCCGTAGAGTCTACAGACAGTAATAGCCAACCATTTCATCGAGGTGGCCTGTGTTTTCAAGACATACATCGTACAGAATAAATGGTTTTACGTGGGGTTATCTGTTTACAGGTTTTTAAAATATTAATGTTTCTTGACTCATTATCTATGTTCAGACCATCGCGTCTTCATGAACTAAATTTCCATTATTAAACTATATTCACAGCGTTCCTTTTTATTTGATTTTCTGCACTCTCGAAATTGTCATACTTGTAACTCTGTACTGTTTCTAAATGTGATCCAGTTTTGAGTAATTCTCAAATTTATAAAGACACACTTAACCCTCTGAAGCCCAACCAACCGAAAAGCTAAGGGCAGAATAACGCGCGGCGCAACACATCACTTGCTCTGTTAACCTATTCCTGCGTGCGAAATGCATAGCTGAAATTGATAAGCAGTGCTTTATAAATTATAACATATGTATTTACGCCCCCATGTTTACTTTAAAATTCTACCAAACACTGCCTCCAAGAACAATATGTATGAACATTCAGAATTCTATTCGAGTACAGTAAGACCCTGCTCAACCTCTCTTATTGCTCCAATTAAAATCACTTACCTCTTCCGCTTCTGAACGCCTTAGATTTTTCTTTTCAAATTACGTGAGGACGAAAGGACATTTTCTGTGAACTTTCATAGTAAACATTTATTTTTTCCTCCATTAAATGCCCTACTTTATCTCTCATTCATTCGTTTGTAGAGGTTAGTTCGCTAAATAATGCCGCGTATGTGGTCAAATGGAGTCCTTGCTACATCGATTCTGTGTCCCATGTCTGCAGGCACGTGCACCCTCATCTTGGGGCGGCGCATGGGCTTTCTCGAACGTGAAGTGGACGCCCTGGCAAACCGGCTGGCCGCCGCTGTTAAGGGCCATTTCCGTGCCTCACGTGACACCTTCTACGGACTCCCATTCTGGAAGGTGATTCCCACTCGGTCCTACAAGTTGTTGGTGAAAAGCGAGGAGGAGATATATGAGTAAGCATAATGGTATCGAGTGATGAAGGATTTGCCATTGAACCCTTCAAAGAAGTTTCCAGCTGAGCACGTTTTGGCTCACTGTAATTTTAATTAAATTTTCTGTATTACGAGGTACATTCGAAAAGTGAGTTAAGAAACTAATTATTGTTATTAAAAACTAACTACTATAAACACGCCTGCATGTACCAGAAACCTTTTTAAAAACTGATAATCGCATAAACCTCCAAGAATAATTGAAACCCGAAATTGCATTGATAAAGTTAACAAGAGAACGCCACTGAGTACTGTCTTGAACCACTTTAATCCATCCAACATATTCACACTATTTCTTTAAGATTCGTTTTAGTATTGCAGTTCCATCTACCCCTGTGTATACGAAGTGGTATTTTCCGATCAGATTTTCGCATTTTCATAGCTTCCATTCTGTCTACCTTTGCCAGACATCTCATCTTTGGTTTTTTTCATCGTAATATCTCTGAATAGTACGGAAAATGAAGCACACGTCGCTACTTTCTCCAGCTTTCTGTTACGTCCTTTTTCTTAGGTACGTCACGATCACAGATTAGTCTGCCCTCAACGTACGTAAGCTCTACCGTTTGGGCGAGAGAACACGTTTTGCGCGAATAAAACGGAAGGTAAACTGCATATTCTTACATATTCAGATGCGAGTTGGAAAGAGAGCAATTCAGGACTGGATGGTAGCAATCATTCCTGGGGATTTAAACTGCTTTAAATTTCCATAGACATCTTAAACCGTCATTTCATTTCGACTGTTAATTTACATTAATAAGTTCAGAATTAATTAATTTCATGCTACAGATGGCGACTCCCACGCCATACTTCTTAACGTTTTTAATTCTCGACTTTCGTAGTGTTAACATGGCGCCTACACGTATTTTCGAAGTGGCAGAAGAATCATCGTTTTAGGTATAAACAATTTTGACAAGCAGGAAATTGTGTAGTGGAATGTTAACATTTCATTTGGTTCTTTTGAGTACCTGCGATTTTAACTATTTGAAAATTACTTATGGTTTTGCATTAAGCGAGTAGAATGTGATGATAATCATGAACCGTGAAGTATAAAAAAATGAGAGAGCTCATAGCCCCCGAAATATTAACGTTTAAACCGCATTGATAATCACGGACATTTTAATAAATGGTATAGGTTGTTACTATCGGTTCGGATTATCTTATTATCTCCATCTTCAGTGTTGAATATTACACAGCATCATCACTAGATTCTCAAATCCGAGCTCGAATTAGAATGTTTAGCATAAGACAAGAACATTCCAGTGCTTATTTCTCATGCCGTATACCTTTGGACGCTTTTTTCAGTATCGTGTCAGATCTGGTGGAATCGGCCTTGAAGGAAGAAAGAGACTCCTGTGCAATGGACGCTGTTAACAGCATCTTCATGTCTGTTCTGAAAGCTCCAGGTCTCGATATACGGGAGAAGAAAGCTGCAATAATCGATTTCATCGCATCCGGTATGCAGACGGTGAGTTTGGTCACAATGCGTAGACAACTGTCAATACTTTCCAGCGTATGACCCGACTGTGCAAGTTTTTGTAATGAAACACTTAGATACCGCCTAAATTAGGTGTTTCATTGAAGAATATAATACGGTAACAAATAAAGAAATCCCTAAAGTAAATTATTGAGTAATAAGCCATTCTGTCTGCAGTAGTAAATTAGTAGCATTCCTAACAAGTTTTCATGCGGTTGGCTGTCTTCTGGGCTGTAGCACCAGGTAGTCTGGAAGAAGGATCGACCATGAGGACCAACAGAATACGCGTGTCTCTTCCCACCGGTCACCTGGAGTCGGAAGAAAAATAAACTTCCGAAGCCTCGTCATAAAAAATTAAAATTATGTAGACAATGAATAAAGAACTGCAGAATGTCTCTACACACCGCGTCACAGCATCGCCAGTAACCTTGGAACGTTGCTAGAGGATTTGGTGTACTACTATCCGAAAATGTTATTGCTGTTTCACGGCGCCCGCGCCGTCATGTTCAGGCAACTTCTCCTACATCTGTGCGTGAGGGTTGTGCATATAAATCAGGCGTTTTTGATCGCGACGTAGTGACAGCAGTGATTATCAGTATTTTGTGAGGTTTAGAATTAAATTAATAAACAATTAGGAAATCAAAAGCATTGAAGTATTTGTAACGAGGTTCTTGACCCAGTAGGTCAATGATAGATGTCTAGTTCTGATATCAAGTTTACTACAAGAGGTAAAACCCCAATTCCAGGGTAATATGGAATTCTTCCTATGAAGACATTTTCCTGGCGCAAATAGATTCATAGATGGTCATATGATGAGGTCTAACCCAGACTGATTATTGTATTGTTTGCATTTTCAAGTTTGTTAGGGTATATTATTATTTATTATTACTAATATTATTATTTCAGTGGGCTGGTCACTCACTACTCATAAATGCATACTTCAAGACCAAGAAACGGCGAAAACCCATAACCGGGTTTGCAGAGCCAATAAATAACAACAATGTATTATTATGATGATTATTATAATATTAATTGCAGTATTTTCCTCTTTTGAATAACTTGTTGCTTAAGGACAGATTTCGTTTTAAATTTATCAGACATAACCTACATGTTTCGCATTGTCGCCGTGTTTGTTATTCTTGACTTATGAGCAATATTTCATTCGTATTGTCTATTAATGTTTATAATATATTTTTATCTTATGCTTTATATTTCTATGTCCAATAGTCTACAAATTGCCACTGCCGAACTAAAAGCTAAATAAAACATTTTACTAATTTCGGAACATTATAAAGCAAGACGTTGGGGCGTCCTCGGATGATTTTACATTCATACTAAACGTTGTAAAGACTAATCGACTAGTTCAAACGTTAACATACATAATAGTACAATTTCATAAGCCTACACTTTTCCTGAAGAAAGAAAAATAGCTTGAAATTGCACTGGTTTAGTTCCAATCGCCATAAATATAAAGCATTCAGATTTTTATCTTAGCAATGGTATCACATTAATTAACAAGGAAAATCGTTAAAATATTAGCAATGCAGACATAAGTTTATTGTGAAATAGGCTTTCCACATGTGGCACCTACTTCCATTCATAGTCACATCCATTCCATAGTCGATAGAAATATTTTGTTAATTGCTTATGTGATTTGTTTGAAAATATTTACTGTAGTTACACTGATAAATTTTACAGCTTGGGAATACGTTGGTGTTTGTGTTATATCTGATCGCGAAGAATCCCCGCGTCCAGGAACGCTTGTACGAAGAGATTCTGCAGGTGGCTCCAGGACGCTGCCCATTAACAGCTGAAACAATCAGAAGAGCGAACTACTTGCAGGCCTGCGTGATGGAAGCGTTCAGGTGAGAAACAGCGGCGTTGGGTGGGGCAGCACAGTGTTACAGTTAATCATATTTTTGATTTGTGTCTTAATGCAGACTGAACGTTAATATGCTGATTTTTTAAGGCGCGTTCCCAACAAAAATAAAAAATGTGCCTATTAGTTTTGGTCTTTCTGCCTGTCTGCCCGTCCATCTTTTCGCGGATTTTAAGTAAATTTTGTATTGGGAAGATTTTATAAAATTCGTCGACGCATTTTAGTTTTGTTCAAAATGGAACATCAGCAAATGTTATTTTACGTTAAGATTTGCATGCGCTTCTGCTCGCCCAAGTGTCAGTGCAGAGAATCCCTGCCCATTCCCAATGGTTAAAGGTCAAATTATGGCGAACGCGCTAAATTTGTTGCGCATTGTGTACATTTCCTAACTTGTCCCATGTTGTTTCCTCAGTATTTTCTCTCTTAATTACAATTTTGAATAACATAATTCGCACTTTGTGTTTTACGCTGCTTCTGGGAAAGAACTGCATTGCTGTTACTCTCTGCCTCTATGTTTTATCCCTAACTCTACTGAACAAGATGGCTGTCTTCTCGGTTATTGCGAGGTGTAGCCTGGTATAAGTTTACCGACGTTTCAGAGGTCCTTGCGCTACAACCCAGAAGATAGCCATCTCCAGTGACACTTGTTCGTTGCCCTGACGACTCACGCAGCGATACAGACATGCCAAATGTCTGATGAGTGTGTGTTGCGTGTTGCAGAGTCCTGCCTGTTGCCCCTTGCGTGGCGAGAATATTGGAGTCTGACATGGAGTTGAGCGGGTACGTCGTGTCAGCAGGGGTAAGCTTCAGGGATCAGTGGAGAAACAACTACAGCTCTGGAATAAGCTTCGAGGCCTGTGATAGAAATTGAAAGACGAAAACCCATGCTTTCAAAAAGTCAATTTTATCGTTGTATAAAACATTACAATTAAGTTAAATTTAAATCAGTATCCAGTACAACAGGGCACAATTTTAATTTCTTGATATTAGATCGAGTTTTAAATTCAACTTAATTGTGACATTTAAAGATATAATACAGAGCAGTAGAGGTTATGGACTCCATTTATGAGATGCAGCATTGGAGCTAATGGTGGGCTGTTTCGAAGACGGTAATAAAATTTTGGGTCTCGTAAAAGACGGGAATTTCTTGACTAGTGCAGTGACTATCAGCTTCTCAAGAACGACTCTGTTGCATGGAGACGTTTATGTATGCACTATATTAAACTGACTAATGATAAGGCTCGAGTGGCAGGATTTTGTGATAATGGTAATGAAATTTCGATTTTCATTAGAGTAAGCAATTTTTTTAACAGCTGAGTAACAGTCAGTTAAGACACGAAATAACAAGAAAGCGAACAGCAACATTATTATGTCACACATTAAAACATGGTCTGAGTGAATAGAATGTGTGTTTCCAGACTGTGGTTCTGTGCCACACGTGGCTCGCGTGCCAGGAGGAGGCCAATTTTACGGCGGCGCAAGAATTTTTGCCGGAACGGTGGCTGCAAAAGGGGGAGATGACACGCACAAGTCCGTTTCTCGTCGTCCCCTTCGGCTGTGGTCGCCGGATTTGCCCCGGAAAACGCTTCGTGGAACAGGAGCTACACCTCGCAGTGGCCAAGGTCAGTACTTGAGTTCGTCTGCCTATAAAGTCTACACATATATTTGTCAAGAAATCGAATGCTATTTTGGTTATCTGTTAAAGACGGACAGCTTTTCGGAGACCGTAGTTTTTTTTCTCCAATATAAGGAGAATGGGGTGCCTTCGTTGCCATAGTAACAAATTCCTATCTGTAATAAATAAACGCCGATGCTATTGAGCTATGCAGAATCGCAAATATATAAAATAAGTGTACTCTGAACTTAAACACACTCCTCTCTTGTTTGAATTTCGAAATTTGATTTTTTGTCTTATATATTTTTATATTTATCACAGATTGTGCGAGAATTTCATGTGGACTTCGAAGGAGAACTTCAGATTCAGTTTGAGTTTTTACTTTCTCCCAAAGCGCCAACGAACTTCATCTTTCACGATCGAATGAACTGACTTTAAATTAACGTCCAGAATGACATGACTGCACATCTACCTCTCCAGTGGCTGTGACCTGTTTAAGGTCAGTGGAAGCTTAGCATCACTTGACAAAGTTGGGCGAA